CCACCCCAGCGCCTGGGAGAGTCACCCATGTCGTTCTCGCTGTCCGCCGACTCGGTGGCATCGCTCTCCTCCCCGGCCACGTCCCCCGCATCCTCCAGGTGCCCGTTGCCGCTGGGGACAGCGGGAGGAGAGGGCTCCGAGGGGATGCAGGCAGGCGTTTCGGCATCAAAGTCAATGAGGTTCCCTACGGGCACATCCAGGGGGGCCTCCATGGCTCTCCGGGGGGGACGTGGCGGTGTCGGGGGGACTTGGTCCTTGTCCTTTCACCCCTCACTGGGTCGTCGAGGCCATCGCCCACGGGGTGCCTGGGAGGACGAGCTGGCTAAGGCAGGCAGGCCCTTCTGTGGGGCACCAGGTTACCGCAGGACATCTGAAAGACAGGGGGAGGACAAGAGTGAGGACAGGACCCCGGGGAACAGCCACCATGGACCTTAGGAGAGGAAACCACAGGCCACCACCCACAATGTCCCCAGGATGCCCATCAGCAGCCGGGAGGGACAGGACACAGGCGCACGGGGCAGGCAGAGCTGGCTGCTCTCCATCAGCCACGTGAATAAACAAAACCACGCAGTGCTCGTGTGCTTTCTGCACCGTTCAAGTGGGTTTTTCATCCTTTAGGCCAGAAAAGAGACAATTTGAGCCCAAGCTCCATATGCCACGTTTGGGATGTGACATCTCACAGCCTGACGGGCAAAACTGGGCTGGCATGAGCCAGCAGCTGGCAAACACACTGGTGATTTTCCAAGACAGCTCCAGAGAAGCATCCTCCTCTCTCCTTCCCTCCTCTCTGCGCACGGGTCTGCCTGACCCCCTTTGGAAATGGGACCATTTCCAGGGGATGCTGAAGACAACAGAAACCGTAAGGGGATGTGGACGTAGGGATCTAGACTGCAATTAGATTCATTAGTTTTGGCACCCACCCCAGATTGCAAAAGCCCTGCAAAGCAGGTACGGCAGCCGGAGGCAGCTCTGCTCTCTGGAGAGCGCGGGGAGCACTGGCTGGCGATGGGCTGCGATGCTCCGCGATACCGGCTGGCAATGGACCGCGATGCTCCAGCGCACGCACATCCCAGGTGGTACCACAGCAGCTGCTGTGCAGCAAAAGAGGTGAAGAAGGGGCTGCCCTGAAGCTGCCTCTTTGTCAGAGAGTCACTCATGTCCTGGGCGAGCGTGTTTCTGCCCCGGGAGGTGGGAAGCGATGCCTTCTGAGAAGCGAGCCCGGTACGAGCAGCCCCGCTGCAGCAGCTGGGCGCGGGGCCAGCGCAGGGCAAGGCAGCACGGCAGAGGAGCAGGGACAGCAGCACAGGTAAAGCAGTGACATCCCCAGGGCAGCACAACGGCAGCACTGCCACAGCCCCGCTGCCTTCGAGGGAACTGATCCCAGGACACAGGCAACCACCCCCAGAGCAAAAAAATCCCAGATCTCTTTCAGCTCAAAGATTAGCATACCCCAAGGGACCAGTGTTCAGTTCATCAGACAAAAAGGAGCTCAAAATGATACCAAATCTCAAGTGTTTCACCAGGCAGAGCGCACTGTCCCAGCTCAGGGGCTGGGACAATAACCCACCGGCTGCAGGACGAGCAGCTTTCCCAGTGCCCTCCTCCTCCCCAGGGCCCCTTTGGGTCAGTGGGGTGCTGGGGATGCTGGGACCCGCAGGACAGAGACAGAGGGACAACACTGCACCCTCCCTGAGCATCAGACAGCTCCACCCCCTGCCTGGGAAAAGCCCCTGTCACCCAGGTCCCCAGGGCTGAGAGACAGGAGCAGGGACCAAAAGGAAAGTCACCTGGAATGGCAGAAACCCATGCACCCACATGCACCCAACACCAAGCACCTCCTGCCTTCGCTGGCACCCCGTTCTCCCACCCTCCCTCGCACCGAACCCCGCTCTCCCCCCGGCACGCACCTAAACCCGGGT